TTAAAAAAAAAGACCCCCCCCCCCCCCCAAAAAAAAGACCCCCAAAGGGGCTCCTTTACAGTTTTTCCTACACTCAGCTGCTCCCCCTCACCAAAGGCCCTTTTTTTAATTTTTTTTGAGGAATCCATTGACATATTGTGCATTGGAACCCTTTCCCATACATCAACAATCAACAACACCAACAATAATTATTTTATTACACCAAAATTGGAAAAATGATTAACTTTTTATATCTGGTTTTTTTGCTTTAAAACAAAATACACTAGCTGGGGATCGAACCCGATACCTTCCACTTACTAGGCGGTTGCTTATCCACGAGACCACTTTGCCTCACTGCGATTACCTGGTTCACTTTTAGTTCTTAACACTGTGCTTTTATTTGTTAACACTTTCAGCTAGCTGAGGGCAGGCGCAGCTATACCCCCTAAAGGCAGACGCGGATCCAGGGCGCCGGGAGGGCCTTGCCCCCCCCCCCCTCCCCCCCCCCCCCAAAAAAAAAAAGAGAGAGAGAAAAGGAAAAGAAGGGAAAGGGAAAGAGGAGAGAAAGGGAAAGAAAGAAGAGGAAGAGGAAGAAGAAGGAAAAAAAGGGGGAAGAAGCAGATCAAGGGCCGAAAGGGTCTTGGATCCCAGCTGTCACCCCCCCCCCCCCCCCATTACAAAATAAGAGAGAATGATGAAAAGGGAAAGAAGAAGGAAAAGAAGAGATAAAGGGAGGTAAAAACGGAAGAAGAAAAGAAAAGAAGCGGGATATCAGTTGCATTTTTGCCGCCAACAAGTTGTAGTTCAGAGGGGCCAAAAGGCCCTAGACCCCACGCCAATAAACGCTACGCTCTGCCTTATCGTAAATACCACTCCCCCAACCTACTTAGAGAAACGTTCAGCGAGGCCTGGATAAAAAGTGGGTGGTGCGGTTTTTTTCTACCCCCCCCCCCCCCCCCCAACGTTTTTGCTCATTTCGCCACTGCCGGTGTCAACATTACGTACCAATATTTGGCTAGAATAATTTCAAATTGGGCCCCCCTAACAAATCCTAGATCTGCGCCTGGGGCCCCCCAAAGGGGCTCCCTAACAGTTTTTTTCGTACACTGCTCTCCCTCACTCTAGGCCCTTTTTCCCCTTTTTTTGAGGAATCCATTGACATATTGTGCTTTGGAACCCTTTCCAATACATCAACAACACCAACAATAATTATTTTATCACACCAAAATTGGAAAAAATGATTAACTTTTAATATCTGGCTTTTTTGCTTTAAAGAAAAATTGTAACTGATCTCCCCTACCTTACTTCTTCCTCTCCCCCCCCCCATACTTCTCTCACCCTCTCTCATTTAAGTTTGTTAAGGAAGGCAGGGGCCTTTCGCCCCCTCCCCCGATCCACACGATGTTGATGGGATTAATGGCAACTGATCTCTGCTTTTTTTCACCCTTTTCTTTTTTCTACCTCTTTTGTGTTCCATTTTAGCTCTCCTCTTTCCCTAATTTCCTTTCTCTCTTTTTTTTTGGCGAGAAGGGGGGGGGGGTTGGTCTGGGGGGCAGAGGCAAAGGCCTTTCTCCGCGATCTTGGGGGGGGGGGGGTAGTGAGCACCTTTTTTTTTTTGGCCCTCGAAATTTTAACAATTTGGACCACCCACCCCCCCCCCCATCCCCCTACTAGATCCGCCACTGCCTGTAGTTTCATCCCTAGCTAGCTGGTTAAGCTGAATGTGGGTTATCCAGTCGTTTCATTCATTAAGTATAATTATACTTGTATCAGGGATATGAGAGTACATCCCTGTTTGTTTTGACTATGTATACGTGTGGACTAGCGTACGGACATTCGGTGCGGCAGGAGGACTATTGGTGCGAGACCTCTTCAGCACAGATTGTCCGTCAGACATTTAAGGCGCGCACGGAATGTCCGACACGGACATTCTGCGCGGATAAAATCCGCACCGATCGTCCGCTCTCGATCGATCTCTTATAGTCGGACGATCGGTGCGGGTTACATTCTAAGCGGTCACACCGGATTACGCAATGAAAACACTTCACAACCTCATCTCCGGAAAACAGACAGTGTACATGTACTATTGTGTTGGCAAAGAGCTTTGAAAGTGAGTTTTATAAGGAGAAGGAAGATCTATCATCAAGGTTCCCGAAAAAGAAAAAATCTCCATAGACCTAGGTAGGTAGAAGAAAATTCTTGAATTAAGTTGTTTCCGCAAGTACATGTAGAATTAGTAGATAAATTTATATTCTTGCTGATAATAGCCCTATTACCTACAATTTTATTTTTATTTTTTTTAACAATGGACCTCAATCGCAACAATAATTTGTTCCTAAAAATTATTTTAAAAATAGAAACAAAAAAACTTTGTGATGTCAATGAACATTATGATAAGGTTTTCTCATTCGCCATATGCCTCTTTTCCCAAAGTGCCTTTTGTGGCAAGACAAATGGCGCCCTCTTCCTAGTTTTACGCAGTCTTCCACTACGATTGCAGATCACATCAAACAGATTGACATCAGATAAGCCCCTGTCTAGCAATCACATATGTTTCAAAATTTAATTAAGATGTAAGTTTGTTATCATAATTATCCTACCACTGTTTTAAACATTCATCTTTAAAGAGAAGGTTGAGTTCTGGGAAGAGGTGAATTTTTTTTTGAGCATTACTCATTTTTATTATTCAAGTGTGGAAGAACATCAGTTAAGACATCTTCCCTGAAAAGCATGGCTCTTCAAATGCCTTCATATTCTAAATATGCATGTAACATCGTAAAAATCGGGGGCCGGCTTTTTACGCCACGTGTTCATGTAGTCCCATATACATCTTTCTGTGCAGGTGTTTGTAACTTTACCAAGACTTGGCCACATTTCTTATCATTTTGATGATTCCAGAACCTTGCAATACACACACATTCTTATATGCTAGATGATCAACCTTTTCTGGTCGATTCCATACCGTTTCTTTCACAATGCAATCGCATGACCAGAACTCAACTTCATCTTTAAACAAATTACTTCAAAATTAAAAAAAAAAATAGCCACCAAGGTTTTAGAGAAGCATGCATAGTTTTCGGACTCTGTAACTGGCGGATCCAGGGACGCAGGGTACACTCCCCTTTCAAAGTATATCTGGCGGTTTAGCCCCCCCCCCCCCCCCCCCCCACCATTTCTCCACCAATCCTTATTTAAGTTGTTTCCGCTAGTAAAATTAACAGATGCTGATAATAAGCATATTTATCATTCCTCTCAACTTCAATATCTCCCCCCCCCCTCCCCCTCCCCCCTCTCTCTCTCTCTCTCTTTCTCTCCCCCCCCCCCCCCCACTTCCCCCTCTCTCATTCTCACTACTCTCCCTCATTTCACCTCTCCCACCTCTCTCTCATCTCTGTGATCACTCTCTTTCCTACCTACCTCAGTCACTTGTTCTTTCTTTCGGAATACTTCCACACATTTTTTTTTTTTTTTATCTATCCCCTTACATTTTCAGTGTCATTTAATCTTCACGGTCCACACGTCTCCGCATGCTCTGTCCATCTGTATTGTCTCTTAGTCATAATTTCCTACAACTTCCAGCCACATTTCTTAACAAAAATGATACCAATAACTTTACATTGTATGTAGATGTTGAACGCAAAGGGAGAACTGCCGTCTTTAAATCAATGAAAATGTAGCATAACCCCCAACAAAACTAATTTCAATACAAAAATTGATAATTTCACTGTGAAAAGTTTAATAATATTCACTCCCATTGCTATGCGTATTTTAAAGCGGGACTGGGCTACTTGTAGCTACTTGCGCCCTCTACTACATCCAACAATGCCTAAGCGGTACCCGTTGACACCCCCCCCCCCCCCCCCATGGTCCCCTTTTTCTTATGTTAATTGAGAGCTGATTGGATGAGATAACCACCTGCCAGTGACCAAGTTCTGGCCAAACTAGTGTGGATATATAAGCTTTAATGAATGACCAACCTAAAGTCAAAGGCTCTTTCTGATCTCGCACTCTCGCAGTCTTACACAACCTAAGCAAACGACATGGCACGCCAATAATGATACACCGTGAAACACTTCGTTAACAAAAAATGTAACGCACAAAATTAAAGTCAAACACAAATCAGACTTCATATCAATTTTATTAATTACTGTATAGATGCACAACTGGCAAAGCATAAATGTAGATTAAGTATACAAGTAGATTATGCCGTGGGACCAGGCACGTACGCAGGATTTTTGCAAGGGGGGGGGAGCACATTTTTTTTTGGTGGGCCAAAGTTTGCAAATTTGAACGATCGATATTTCGTTCCGTTGGGGGGGGGTAAGGTCAGATTTTATTTTTTTTAATTATTATTATTATTATTATTATTATTTAATACCAAAGGGGGGGGGAGTCATCCAAAACATACACATAAAAAATTAAAGGGGGGTTCAACCCCCCCCCCCTTACGCGCCTGCGTAGGACCTTCATGGTGTTTGAGACCCGGGGTGGGGTACTCAGTTACTCACATAGTAAGACAAACGGGGTGTGCCACTCTAATGGGTCATTTTTTCACACAAAAGCCATAAACATGAGTCCAATTTTTAACAAAAATAATCCTAAACAAGGGTCGGTTTTCCAAAATTTTCAAAAATTTTAAGAATGCGGAAAATGGGCTTTACTTCGAGAAAAATCCCCCTAAACGACCCTAAAAATGGGTAGGGGTTTCAAGGCTTCAGCGGCAAACCCCGGTCCAAATCAAATCTGAGTAGGCCTACCCCTAACTTCAGAGACACGTATGAACGTGGACGGGAGAGAAAGAATATAATGGTAGGACCCTAATGACATTGGGTAGATTACGAAGGGGGAAATGACAAGGGAAAAAATATATCTAAGAAGAAAAACTTATGCGTAAAATGAGAGAGAGGGGAAAAAACGGAAAGAGAGGGAGTGAGAGAGAGAAAGAGAGAGAGAGAGTGTGTGTGTGTGTGTGTCAGAGAGAGAGAGAGAAAGAGAGTGTGTGTGTGTGAGAGAGAAAGAGAGAAAAGAGAGAGAGAGAGAGAGCATGAGTGTATGATGGAAGAAAAAAAGATAGTGAATAATTATAGGGCTGTACAAAAGATAAGTACAGACAAAGGTTGTTCAAATTGCACATTGTCACTTTACTTTTTGTGAGTGTACGTGGCTTACAAATATTCTCCAACAAACTACAAACTTTCCCTCAAACTCAAAAACAATCATAGCTAATTATCATAAATCTTCAAAACATTTTTCTTTCAAGCTATAAATAGTATACTCTAGGAAGCATGTAACTCGAAATCCCTATATACCACTTATATAATTATATAGCCTCTCTTTAACAAATTCTATCAATATCATCAATATATCACACGTCAATATAACACCTCCAGTTAAAACTCAGACGAGTATTTTGGAGGACCAACCAACCAAGAACCAAGTCAAGAGCTCATACAATAATTTATACAATTTATCCAAATATCACTTCAGTCATTGAAATAGATACATAGTTTTTGGAAAGAAGTTTACTATCAAAATTGTATATACAACAGATGAAATGACGCGAACAGCATAATAATTTTACTTGTTATAAAAAATGGCTACGGAGATTTTGGAACGATGTCTTCTACTATGTTAAAGAAAGGATGTACAGTATACAGTACAAATAGGTGAATAAACGCAATATCCTGTTTGGGTGACCTTCGACTATTGCATTGAAATAAAAATTAATGTCGAGACTCGGGTGTATTTGATATTAAAACGTCGTTGCAGGTATTGGTTAAAAACAACGCTGGAAAATGTAAACAACACCGAAGTGCGCGCGCAATATTATATATGGTATATAATTGCGATCCTATACCGCATATGACATAACTATAGGTCAACAATTCAAGGCAAAAATGCATGAAGATTCGCCTCTACACTATCGTTAACCTGACAAAGTATAACCGTTCAAAATATTGCATTAATATTCCGTGGCTAACTATGAACAGTTTGAATGGGAATGGGTATAGCACACAAAATATCTGTAAAGCGCTTAGAGAGATTATATATATGAATTTTCCAAAAAAAAGTGTTTTAAAAGGTTATACAAATTAATGAAAAGCATTTCTTCACCAAGATGCCAATATAAGACAATATCAATAAGCTAACTAAACATTTTGAACAATATACAAAACACCTGAGGTTTGGGGCTTTGTTTACAGTGGGTAACTTTGCATGCAACGACAAAACTGGATAGACAAAATTAATATCTTATTCTTTCCTTTGTAAACTTTATATATAATTCATGATATCTTATCTTTCAAAACTGTACACAATAGACACCTCTAAAAGTCTGCTCTTAAGTGCTTCATTGTTTATGTTTATTGCTTGTTATTTCCTTTTCCGACCGATGAAACAATCGCACTGGGGTTGGTACCTTCGAAGCTACTGACAGTAGTTGTCCATTTCCTACTACACACAGCAGCCCGAAGTGCCTTCCGGTACTGCTTGCTCTTGAAGGCATAGATGAAAGGATTCATACAGCTATTGCAGAAGGCGACCAAGACGGTGAGATGGTAATACCACTGGTCAAAGTCCAGGTTCCAGCCACAGTTGTACGCGAAAAAGACGAATTGGTTGGGCGCCCAGCAGATGGCGAAGGTCACTACGACAATAGCGAGCATCTTCACGACCTTCTTCCTGGCGCTCAAGAGTTCCAGAGCCATCGGTCCAGACTTGCCTTCTCGTGTCTCCTGACGCAGCCTACGTGCACTGGCCTGGAGGTTTGACATGATCAACCAATAGGAGATGCCCATGACTGTGATTGGGATGACGTAGATGACGCAAAAATTGGCCACGCCTACGAAGGTCTGGTAACCGACGTTCGGCCATCTGAGCATACAGGTCCCTCCATCATTGTAGAAGACATATAGCATGTAGCTGTTCATGACGAACCCGAACACCCAGACACTGAAAATCATCATACCTGCCTTTCTGGCCGTAAAGATGGCATCGTAATGAAGAGGGTGGACGATGCTGAAATATCGCTCCAAGGTCACACAGGTCAAGTTGAGCACCGACGCCGTGAAGGCCGTCCACAGTGGAAACTTGGACAGGAGAAGGCGACAGAGAGTGTTCCCTCCTGCGCCGTCGGGCACCGGGATGTTGATACCTGGGCAGAGAAAAAGAAAACAAGACAAAATGTTTTAAAAAAACTGTTGAAGGAGCGTATGTAAATATTGCACATAGTTGTGGAAAATTGCAAAAAGTCATAAACCAGAGGAAACTTGGACAGGAGCAGACGACAGAATGTGTCTTCTCCTGCGCCTTCGGGAACCTGGATGTTTAATACCCTGACAGAAGAGAAACAGAAAAACAAACATGTTCTGTCAAAAAAAATGTTGATGAAATGTGTATAGGCAAATATTTTGAATCAGCTGGGGAACAATCGCAAGAACGCTTAACTGCCACAGAGGTAACCTGGATAGGAAAAGACGAAAGAGCTATACATGTAGGGTGTCTCTTCCTGCTCCTTCGGGCACCGGGATGTTCAATACCTGGACAGAGAAATAGAAGTTAGAAAAAACAAACACATTCTGTGAAAACTGTTGATAGAATGTAGGCAAATATTCCAAATCAGCTGTGGAAAAAAAATCACCTCAGAAAGGTAATCAAGAAGAAAAAGTAGAACGAGGCAAATACGCTGCTGGTACGACAAGACTGAAGATCTAACTAGAGGTAGCAGAAAGGGGAGATTTCACAAACACGAACATAAATCTAAGTACACACGCCGAGGTCCGGTTACTAAGTTATTTCTACTGTGATGACAGGGCTAGAAGCACGTAGTCAAGCTTGACTTCGGGTTAGAAATGCTTGGGGTACGTCGAAATGTAAAAATCTGATTCGTAGACAAATTAATGATAAACAAACGATATGATCTGATATGATTTTGTATGCAGCAGTGAAGTTATAATAAGAACTGTGGATCGTACCTACTGATGTAAACATCATAAACGATCTTGAGTTTTAGTCTATTGGTTGTGCTCGAACATTAGATTCTGATAAACCCGATTTTATCTTATTTCATATTCAACTCTAACACATTATGAAAGGATCTGATTCCTTTAAAATAAAATCCATTCCAGATAAGATGCATATCTAAGAAAAAGATAACGTTATAACTCTTTTATAAACTGTATCTCACTTAATCCATGTTAAACTCAATAAACAAGAAACGTTCGTAATAATTTATTATGATCATGATCTTACGGGAAACTACGGGGAATGACCCTCAAGTACAGGCCAGTGTAAACACATATCTAAACCCATGTCTATGTCTTCAATTATTTTCTCTTATTGCCAATTGCCATTGGTATTTCATTTACTAGCTGTACAGCTCAAACCAGATCCAATTACAAAATATTTGTCATATCCATAAACAGAGGGAGGATTGCACAATTCATTTTCAGAATTTCAAATCACGCGCTGTTTTGGCGGGGTTTTGGGGTTAAATTATTGTGGGATGAGTTTTACAGGAGAAGGTTCTTTCAACACTATCGCAACGACAATTCCAATAGCACTGCGTGTTGCTTTTTGAAATGTGCAAACATGACAATACATTATTACGTAATAAACATAACTTGTCAAGGCAGTATATTGCCCTCAATATTTCTTGAAAGTCAATTTTTTTCTAACAGGCCAGGGGGATATGACTCTTCAGTCTAGCTAGAAGATAATTAACATGATCCTGGTGTTATATTATTCGGATAGAAAATGATCTACACAGCCGATGTTCAAGTTCGCGGTGATTCAAACTAATGAACCATGAAAAATTCGTCACATATAAAATTGTTGAATACAATGTTTATTCTTAAGAACGCATTGTGATCAATATCAGACGTCTGGGAGAATTTTTTTAATCTCGAGTAGGAAAGAAATTTGAATCCCTTCATAGAGTTGCCAATGTCACTCGAATCATTTCATATAAATCTTTGATCTTTATTAAACTTCATCATGTTCATGGTCTACAAGCCTTGCTTCTGAAACATGTTCTTGAAAGTATACAATCCAATTTATTTCGACACACTGTGTGGCACCTAAGAAACCAACATTTCCTTCTTCATTTTTCTTTAGAGCGTGAATTATAAAATCGTGTCACGATGTTCGGACACACCATCAAAATCGATAGATTTTTATATGATATTTATTGGTTTTCACGCGTTTATATTACATTCTAAAGTTATATTTCACCCAGTATGGGTATTTATAGTAGAACTAATCAATAATCAATAATAATAATAATAATTTTAATGTGTTTGCATCTGTTCGTGACTAGCGGCAAAATTACTGCAAAGACTCTTATATAAATCCTCTTTTTTCTGATTACGTCAGTAGGCTAACTGGTACGGGGTTACTTGATAATATGCATTTTAAAAGGTGGTTTGTTATGATCAAGTCGTTGCGGAACTGGAGACCATGTACTGAGGGTATTATTGAGCTCTAAAATAATGACAGACTTCTATATAATCAACTGATATTCGATACGACAAAGCAAATAAGTGATTATAGAATTCGAATATCATCATTTCAGTGTTTTGATGATTCATCAACTGTAAATAGAAATACCATCCGAAGATACCTTTCCGACTTTAGGTAATACTCTCCCTCTCTCTCTCTCTCTCTCTCTCTTTCTCTCTCCCCCCCCCCCCTCCCTTCCTTCCTCTCTCTCTCTCTTTCTAGAAAATCTTTCTGGAAATATAGGCTTATATAGGGTTATTTTTTTCATGTAACTTTTATGTCAGGTTTGAGGTAAAAGTGAGATATGGTTTAGTATTAAAAAGATCAAAGTTAAAAAATGAATTTAGGAAAATTCCGTATGGAACATTAAATTGTCGCAAACCCATACATTGCAACGTCATACATTTCATGAATTAATCTCTGCAACAGTTTTTTTTTTTTTTAATTAAAAAAATGAATAGGAAAAAAAAAAGTGGTATAAAATAAAAGTAAAATCATTATAATCAAGCACAGCTCGTTTCCCCTTTAAACCAGTTTCGTATCTTAGTCAAGTACAGGCCTGGTCAAGTGCCATGTATGTTGAATATTGGTCGTCGCTGGGGAATTCATTATCTCTTTATAACACCCACCTCGTCTGTTTCTATGGAAGGTTCATCAAATGATTCGAGGCGAGGAAAACGCTCTTAAACTCCCGCTTCTGTGATACATGAACTATAACAATAAATTTGCACGCGGAAGATTTAAAAGGTTTTACTGCTTTTCTAGGTAGGTATTGTCAACGTGTCCATGCACTAAGGGCTAACCGAGAAGGTAAATTGGTCGACTTTTATTAGTGGCGGTCAGCGGGTTATTTCAAGTAGAAGTGGACACAGTGGACATGGTTATATCACAAGGAAATCACATATCTCCATGCAGACAGCTCTGGATATTTAATCTCTCTCTCTCACCCCCCCCCCCCCCCTCTATCTCACTCTCTCTCTTTCCCTCTCTCTACCTTTCTCGTTCCCTATGACGCGCTTTTTCTCACTCTCCCTCTCTCTCTCTCTCTCTCATTCCCTCATTTTTATTTCTTCTTTTTTTTTGTTATCTCTCTCACCTTTTCTTCTCCGTCTCTCTCCATCTCTCCCTCTTTTTATCTCTCCTCTTTCTCTTTACACAATCATATTTCAAACTGACGTCATTTCAGAACAGCACAACCTATAATGAAGGTGAAATTGAAGACCTAAAAAAAGGAACACTAGACTAATACTGCTATGTTACTGTTAAGTAAAGCTTACTGGAATAGTTCTTACTAATAAAGTACGTTTTTTATATATGTCTTTTGTAACCCAGTAGGAAGCCATGGGTGTCGCCCGTTACGTCATTCCTATCAAGCGGTCCTACAAAGTGCCGTGTATTTGGTCGAAAAAGAATGACGATAAATTAATAATTAGTAAATAAGTATACCAAAGCGTTAACAAAAACCTTAAAACTTGCAAAGTTTTATTCGCACGTCTGCTTAACTGTTGTTAATAAACATGCGAATATCAATACCCCGGTACACATAATTTTATGCACACCATGAATGCGTCTTGCACAGCGAAAGTTGAACGGTTCAAGAACGTACTAGGAAAAAATCGACAAAATTCAAATCAACGGTCGCTCATCCCATTTATGGGCTACATATAAAACATCACTGTCTTTATTTTGGCAGCATGGTCACTTTTTGATGTAAAATGGCATTGGGACATGTTGGTTCGATCAATTCTTGATGGATATTTTTCCAAACGCGATATTGATTACGTTTTGTAAAAACAACACCGGGGACTCGTGGTCTATGGTTATAATGACATGATGGCTTCCTAGCATCGTAAGAGTAATTATTGATAGGTTTATCTTTTTATTAGAATTGGGTCATGGAACCAAGTGTGTGGCCCTGGCCCTGTAGAGGTGTTTTTTATTGAGCGGGTGCTGAGCTCCAGAAAGGACATGGTCATCATCATCGGAAAAATCAATCAACTGGCGGGCGGAGCGCAGGTAAAAATGACATACTAAAACAATATCAGAAGCGTTGGAGGAGGCGGGAGGGGTGGGAAGGGGTAGGCACTGGTGCACTGTCGGGAGCGGGGCTGCATCGGTCTTTACTATAGGGACTTTTAGATGTGCACGTCGACATAGTGGACTGTTACGTGTGACGTCCATTTAAGACACTGGTGCAGTGCCTTAAAGGGATGTCACACGTAGCAGTCCACTATGTCGACGTGCAAAATAATCTAAAAGTCCCTATATACTAGGTGGATGAAATGAAAAGGAACAATGCCATTAAGTGATAAGAGAGTGTGCTGTGGTGGGAGACGGTCGTATCATCCTTTCACGTCCCCCTCCCCATTCCCCTCCCCCCCCCCCCTCTCTCTCTCTCTCTCTTTCTCTCCCTGCCCCTTTCTGATTGATATATACTTTTCTTTTTATCAATTTCTTTCTAGAGAAGCCCACATTTCTTAGCAAAAACAATTATAATCATGTTGATATGAATGATGTGTTTACTATTTTAATTAGATAAGGGGCACGTCACACATCCTCCCACGTAGCTAGGCCACTGTATAGACTAGGGTCTCTTTTTCATTCAGTACACCCATCGAAATATCAGATGGAATTAAGTAAAGTAAAATATAATTA